CCCCCTGAATCCCCTCCTGCCCCTTGAACCCTTCCCCCTCCTGCCCCGGGTCACTCCGCTCCGGGCTCACCCCGATCGCTCCCCGGCCCCACAGCGCCGCACTAGAGAAGTTCCCGGGCCGCAGGCGGCAGCGGCTTGTCCGGGGGCGGAGACAGGGAGGGCGCGGCCGAGCGGCCACGGGGCAGGACTTAGGCCGCCGCGCAGCCCAGGCCCGACCCCGACCCTCCAGCCCGGAGCTCGGCGGCGCCCGGGCGGAGCCGGGGCAGCTCGGGCAGGAGCGCGGCCTGCAGGGCACGTCCGGCCGGCGGCTCCCCAGCGCTGCCGTGTCGGGCGGGCGGTGACCTGCGAGCCCGCGGGGGAAGCGCTCCCCGCACCGCGCCTGGCTGTCACCGCCCCACCGTTAGCCGCAGCGGGCTCGGGATGCTTCCTAGTGATTGAAATCGACCTGCAAAACGTATTGAAACGACCAGGGAACGCGTAAGACACGGGGGGGAAGCGTTTAAAATGCTCAAAAACCCTTGTCTTTATCTTTGAACTATGCATTGCATTGTTTTTAACGCCCAGAAGGCTGGTCCGTCTGCACATTCAACACCTCATTGATCAAACAAACGGATCATGTCACAAGCGCACTAATCCGCTGGATTGGTAATAATCTCTCTGTTTTGGTAAAGTTACTGGGGCAAAACATTACCCCAGCCCCGACTGTATCTATCTTCAGCGATACTCACGGGTCAGTAGAGCTGTTCGTGTTCCATTTTAACTCCAGGCAAAGTATTTGGACGATAAATGCATATTTTAAATTAATTTCTTCTAAATATTCATAGTCAAGTGTTTTCATGGCAAACAGCATATTTTCCTTGACAGCAGTGTTGTAGAAAAATGGCACATAAAGTCTGCATCTTACAGGGAAGTTTTGATGTCTCAAACGGTGATCAATTTAATTTCAAAGAAATAAAAGACAGGGTAAGAACACAGGGCCACCACATTTTCCTTGCAGCAACTATTAATATCAGTATTTTAGGGGATACTGCAGGCACAGCAATGAACATTGTCAACCATGTCAATTTTCAGGAAGTGACTTCATTGTAGTCTCCTAGACCGGGGATGGGCAAACTTTTTGGCCTGAGGCCACATCAAGGTTCCGAAACCGTATGGAGGGCTGGGAGGGAAGGCTGTGCCCCCCAAACAGCCTGGCCCCCACCCCCTATTCTCCCCCTCCCACTTCCTGTCCCCTGACTGCCCCCCTCAGAACTCCTGACCCATCCAACCCCCCTGCCCCGACCACCCCCCTGGGACCCCACCCCCTATCCAACCCCCCCCCTCCCTGTCCCCTGACTGCCCCAACCCCTATCCACACCCCTGTCCCCTGACAGGCCTACCGGGACTCCCATGCCTATCCAACCCCCCCATTCCCCATCCCCTGACCACCCCCAGAACCTCCGCCCCATCCAACCGCCCCCTGCTCCCAGTCCGCTGACCGCCCCCCACGACCCGCTGCCCTTATCCAACCCCCCAACTCCCCGCCCCCTTACCATGCCTCTCAGAGCAGCAGGACTGGCAACCGTGCCACCCGGCCAGAGCCAGCCCTGCCGCCGCGCTGCCCGGCAGGAGCTCGCAGCCCCGCCGCCGACAGCACTGGCAGCACGGCGAGCTGAGGCTGCAGGGGAGGGGGAAGAGCAGGGGAGGGGCCGGGGGCTAGCCTCCCCAGCCAGGAGCTCAAGGGCCAGGCAGGAAGGTCCCGTGGGCCAGATATGGCCTGCGGGCCGTAATTTGCCCACCTCTGTCCTAGACCTTGCTTTTTTTTTACATTTCCGCGCCCAGGGTGCAAATATGGGAAAGTTACACCAGTACAGAGTCAGCCCCACATCATGCACCACTTTAAAAGAGCCAGTAGTATAGTTAGGAGGCCTTGGATTTGACCAGTTAACATGTATTCATGCAGAACCAATATGGCCAGCTCAAGGTTAGTGACAAAGACCAGGAAATCCCTTGTCGATCATCTGAGATTCATAAGAAATTGTTAGTCTCTAAGGTGCCACAAGTACTCCTGTTCTTTTTGCAGATACAGACTAACACGGCTGCTACTCTGAAACCAGTTTTATAACTGTTTGCATTGTTAGATGCATCTAGCCTCAGTAAAGAAGGAGTCCACTTGACCATTTACACGTGGCAGGTGGAATAAATACTGTGACTGTGCTCAAGCATGGTTGAACTTGCCTGGTGATAACGGATCCATTGCAGAATCATTTCAACAGCACCTGTCAAAAGAATTTGATGGCATCCCCAGTGACACGGGGTTCCACCTCACCTGCTATAGGCATTTTATAGACAAGCAGTGCAAAGAGTGCAAGAAAATGCTGTGCTCAGCATTTGATATCACCAGGGAAACGGGATGATGCACAGTCTACCTCTTCCAGCACCAGTTCCACACCTTTGTCCAGGCCCAGAAAGACACTTCACTCAAGATCTGGCCTCCCAGTTTGTGCATCTGGACCAGTCCCCCCAGCCATCTGTGGAGAAAGAAGTGGTTCAGGACTATTTAGAAAAGCTGGATGAGCACAAATCCATGGGGCCGGATGCGCTGCATCCGAGGGTGCTAAAGGAGTTGGCTGATGTGATTGCAGAGCCATTGGCCATTATCTTTGAAAACTCGTGGAGATCGGGGGAGGTCCTGGATGACTGGAAAAAGGCTAATGTAATGCCCATCTTTAAAAAAGGGAAGAAGGAGGATCCAGGAAACTACAGGCCAGTCAGCGTCACCTCAGTCACTAGAAAAATCATGGAGCAGGTTCTCAAGGAATCAATTCTGAAGCACTTAGAGGAGTGGAAAGTGATCAGGAACAGTCAGCATGGATTCACCAAGGGCAAGTCATGCCTGACTAAAATAATTGCCTTCTATGATGAGATAACTAGCTCTGTGGATGAGGGGAAAGCAGTGGACATGTTATTCCTTGACTTTAGCAAAGCTTTAGATACGGTCTCCCATGGTATTCTTGCCAGCAAGTTAAAGAAGTATGGGCTGGATGAATGGACTATAAGGTGGATAGAAAGCTGGCTAGATCATCAGGCTCAACAGGTAGTGATCAATGGCTCCATGTTTAGTTGGCAGCTGGTATCAAGCAGAGTGCCCCAAGGGTCGGTCCTGGGGCCGGTTTTGTTCAATATCTTCATTAATGATCTGGAGGATGGCGTGGATTGCACCCTCAGCAAGTTTACAGATGACACTAAACTGGGAGGAGTGGTAGATTTAGTTGGGGATTGGTCCTGCTTTGAGCAAGGGGGTTGGACTAGATGACCTCCTGAGGTCCCTTCCAACCCTATATTCTATGATTCTATGATGGCCTGGATTACTGGAGTATCAGAGGCACCAACACTGGCTGGCTATGTGATCTTCCAGTTGATGTGGACTTCCCGCATATCACTTTGCCAAGACATTGTTTATCTTGCATCCAAAGGTTGAAAACGGACCCCTAAATCCTTTTGCCTTGTACTGACAATTAGACACTTGACAGAATCCTCTCAAGTTGTCTCCATGCTAAACAAACTGGGACACTGTCCATTGGAATACAGTGATTTGCCATGACATGAGCCTTGCTCAACTACAGCTTGTTCAAGGGTCTGATGAGGTTCCAGTGGACTTTGCAAAGAAAGCTTCCAAAGTTCTATCTGGGTGTGGCACCACCCACCGTGCAAATAGAATAATGCTGCAGAGCCAACATCAGGCAGAGCTCCACTGCCGAAAGGTGAGTGTATTCTCTTAAAACACCTCCTAGTTTTGCAATAGAGCAGTGCCACCAGAACAAGAGGCAAGGTCCCCAAAACCTGAGTCATGATGCACATGCCCCATTAGAGGCTGACAGGTGCGGCGCAAACCAGGAACCAGCACTTAGAACTGAACTGGCAGACATTCTTATGAAGGCTCTCAATGCTGACTCATGGACACTTCCTGGCTGGACAAGTTTTCATATTGCTCTTCAACATGATTGTACTCTCGAGAAGTCAGCTATCCATTACCTCCCAGGCATCGAGGCATGACCAACAGAGATGTCTACTGTGATGGGTTAGATCACAGAAACCCTCTTGGGAGTTGCCACCCGATGTGCCAAGACTACTTCTACCCCTGCCTTCCCTGCCAGCTCAGGACCCCAGCACCCTGTCTTGCTGAGCCAGACACTGTCTTCTGCTCCAACTAAGAGCCAGGGTCTGAATTACTTGCCCCAAAGCTGCAGGTTTACTTGAAAGCAGCTAACAGAAGTGTTCCTGTCTTTAACGCTCAGATGCCCAACTCCCAATGGGGTCTAAACCCAAATAAATCCGTTTTACCCTGTATAAAGCTTATGCAGGGTAAACTCATAAATTGTTCGCCCTCTATAACACTGATAGAGAGATATGCACAGCTGTTTGCCTCCCCCCGGTATTAATACATACTCTGAGTTAATTAATAAGTAAAAAGTGATTTTATTAAATATAGAAAGTAGGATTTAAGTGGTTCCAAGTAGTAACAGACAGAACAAAGTAAATCACCAAGCAAAATAAAATAAAATGCGCAAATCTATGTCTAATCAAACTGAATACAGATAATCTCACCCTCAGAGATGCTTCAGTAAGTTTTTTTTCTCAGACTGGACACCTTCCAGGCCTGGGCACAATTCTTTCCCGTGGTACAGCTCTTGTTCCAGCTCACGTGGTAGCTCGGGGATTCTTCATGATGGCTCCTCTCTTCCCTTTGTTCTGTTCCACTCCTTTATATAGCTTTTGCATAAGGCAGGAATCCTTTGTCCCTCTCTGGGTTTCCACCTCCTCCTTCTCAATGGAAAGACACCAGGTTAAAGATGGATTCCAGTTCAGGTGACATGTTCACATGATCACGTCACTGCAAGACTTCATTGCCCACTTGCCAGCACACACGTATATAGGAAGACTTACAGGTAAAACACACCCATCTGCAGACAGTGGTCCTGGTTAATGGGAGTCATCAAGATTC